GCTTGCTTACATATGTGCTTGCTTACATATGTGCATGCTTACATATGCGCACGTTTACATACGTGCATGTTTACATATGAATGATGCACAGTCTTGGCCAGGATTCTCTTGCAAAAGAGATTTTTAATCTCGATGAGATTTTCCTGGTGAAATAAAGGTTAAATTTAGAAACATGGGAAATGTGGAAGATTATTTATCTTAAACATGAACATAAGAAGTGTCGGCTAATTACAGCTCAGGGGTTTAACAAATCTTCAGACTTTCTTCTCATCTTCTTCGGGTTCCTCTCATTGGGGGGGGGGGGGGGGGACTGTGCCAGTTTGTGATTTGAGCTGAGCAGGAGTCTAATCATAATCTGTCAAGACAAGAATGGAGAGATCAAGAAGATTTTCTCAGAGAGCTGCACGCAGACAGAAGTTCTTCAAAGTGTCCTCATCACTGGGGACAGCTGAAGCAAGAGCTGAGAACAATTACAGGAGAAGAAAACACCTCCCCCACTGTCGGAGAGGAGGTGGAAATGTTCTGCCTTCTGGTTTATGTGACAGAACACGCTGCAGCACATTCTGAATGCAAACGTCAGGAAGAGGCAGAAGTTTCACCTGGAGCAGAAATTCAACTCCAAAATGAACCACTTGCCTTCAGAGAAGTGTGAGAGACGTCTTCAATCTTTCAGAACCTGGAAGAACTTCTACATTAAGAACCACCACCAGAGTCTTCATCACACGTCACTAACAAGTCAAAGTCTGGTCAAATGTCAGGACTGTCACTGGTTTTCTAATGAACATCAATTAATTGGTCTGTTTTCTCGTTTCCTTCTCACAGTCTTGCAGACGGCAGTGAATATTTGTTCCAGTGTAAAGACGACGTAAGTTTCAAGAGTTGTTCTTGCACAACTTGTGTAGAATGTGCTGCTCGTGGTGTTTCCATATTTGCTGTCTGCTTCATGGACTGAGCATGGAGTTGACTCAAAGATGGAGCCGGCCGCTGCTGACCTGGATTAAAGGTGCTCACTGCAAGGTCACAGAGGTCACACAAAAGAACGTAAGAAACAAAGTGTAGTTCTTCATAGGTGGTTTAACTTGTGTTGGTTAACCAGTAGTCCCTCGTTACTTGGCCGTTTGTTTATCACGGACTTGCCCTATTGTGGTTTTTCAAAATAAGAGTGGACATGACACACAATTGGCACGTTTTTCACACAAGTCCTAAAAGTAGATGAAGAGAACCAGTTCAACAAAAGACTCAAATATTATACACCTTGGAGGAGTTTGATCCATTCCTCTGTACAGAACACCTGTGGTTTCCTCACAGCAACTGCAGCTTCAGGTCCTTCCACAACATCTGGACTGGATGAAGGTCAGGACTTGGACTTGGTCGTTCCACAACATGAACTTTATTCTTCTTGAACCGTTGTTTGGTGCTGAGGGTCATTGTGTCGCTGCAGGACCCACCTTCTCCTGGGAGTCACTTCATGGACAGATGTTCTGACGTTTTCCTTCAGAATTCTCTGATATAATCCAGAATTAAATGTTCCATCAATGATGGCAACAAGTCCTGGTCCAAACCATGATACTACCACCCCCATGTTCCACAGATGGGATCAGGTTTGCTGTTGTCCTTTCTCCAGACAGAACTTTTCATTTAAACCAAAAAGTTCTGTTTGTCTCATCGTCCACAGAACATCTTCCAACAGTCTTCTGGCTCGTCCACGTGATCTTTATCAAACTGCAGACGAGCAGCCATGTTGTTTTTGGAGAGCAGTGGTTTCTCTTCCACCCTGCCATGACACCATTGTTGTTCACAGTTCTCCTGATGGTGGACTCATGAACATTAGTCCATGTGAGGGAGACCTTCAGCTCTTAGACGTGACCCTGGAGTCCTTTGTGACCTCGCGCACTATTCCACACCTTGTTCTTGGAGTGATCTTTGTTGGTCCACCACTCCTGGGGCGGGAACAATGCTCTTTAATGTCCTCCATTTGTCCACAGGGCGGCTGTGGCTGAGTGGTTCGAGCAGTCGTCCTCCAATGCAAGAGTTGGGGGTTCAACTCCACCAGCAGTCACATGCTGAAGTGTCCCTGGGCAACACACTGAACCCTCATTGCCTGTGATGTGTCCCATCAGTGTCTGAATGTGATGAAGCTCTGATTAGTCTTTGTACAGATCTAGTATAGAGCTGTATGAACGGGTGAATGAGGCGCAGACTGTTGTAAAGAGCTTTGAGTGTCTCGATCAGATGGAAAGGAGCTGTATAGGTACCGTCCATGTACATCCTTGTAAAAGAGGTTAATGATCTCAATGGATTTGTTCCTGGTCAAACTGGTTAATGTGTGTGACTGTGGACTGGTGGAGTCCAACCTCTTTACAGATGTTCTGTGACCTTCTTCAGCCTGATGAGCATCAACAAGTCTTTTTCTGAGCTCCTCAGAGGTCTCCTTTGTTCCACCAACATGTTGTGAAGATCAGACGTTGATCGATCCTGTTCTTTAGATCAAACAGGTGATCACTCCCACCTGATCGTCGTCATTGATTGAAAACACCTGGCTCTGATTTCACCTTCAGTTAATGATGATCCTTTCACCACTCACCTGTAACATCGGATCGTTGTCGTCGATAAGTAAATGAGCCGGTGGAATACTGAGTCTCTTGTTCCAAAGTTAGGACGTGTGTGAAACTGATGATGTTTGACTAGAAAATGATCAAGTTACTCAAACTTTCATGCACGTGTGGGACACTCTGTGAACGTGTCCGGTAGTTTGTCAGTTTGCACTGAGCACCTTTAACCAACACCTGGTTAGTTCCAGACTACGAGACAAACACGAGTTTTTGGGTTTGATTCCAGGACGAGCTCCAGCGCTGGAGCCAGGCCATGGAGCAGGCCGTTCACACAGCAGAGGAGGCACCGGGGCCCTCAGGGGCCACAACCCACAGCCTGCCCGCCCCCGCTGCGCCCCCTGAGCCCAGCTCTGCCAAGAAGGACAAGGAGAAGAAGTTCAATCGCTTTGCCAAGAAGAAGTGAAGCTGGAAGGCCATCAGGAGGGAACGTCGCCATGGCAACCTGGATGGAAGAGAACAGATGTGTTCGATGTTTTTACCACTAGATGTTTTTTATATTGTAGGACAATAAATCTTAGAGTTTACGTAGAAACACGCTGTTGCCTGTATGTAAGCCACTTTTCAAAGGTCTTTTTTTCCCTTCTGTGTGTTCTTTTAATAAATTCAAACATCAATTAAAGCACAGGAATGCTTCACACTCAACCAAAGAACGTTTGTTTTGTTCACTTAGTCCAGTGATACAAACGTGTAATGAACACAAGGCAGGACGTTCGGATCCATCTGCCACACAAAATGTTTGAACTGATAAAAACTGTGCTGCTCAAGTTGACTTTGAAGCTTTGTAAATGTCGTGCACTCCCCAGGTGTAACAATCTACTACGTGCAGAATTTGATGAGATCTACAACTGTGGTCCTGAAGTGGTCCTTCAGTTTTTACTGCAGATCCGCTGGATCCTGAACGTACCTGTGGCCGTACTCACGAACTTTAGATACATTCAGCACTTGTGTACTGAACTAATTTCTCATCCAATAGTAACTATATATGTAGAAGTGCATGAAGAATGTTTTACGTTGGGTGATATGGTGCTATTGTGATGTTCTAGAAACTAAGCAAGAGTAATTCACTTGGCTCATTTGTTATCGACTTGGGCTTGCAGCCACACATGTGAAACGCAAACTACAAGCATGAATAAATCGTGCCCATTTCATAAAAGGTGCTCGACAATGTAGTTTTCCTGTGGAGAGAGCAAAAACTAAATGTACAAGTTGAACAAAAGTAACGTTGATTTCCAGCACAAGTCTGGGCGCTCAAATCCATCTGAAAAGTAGAGCCCAACTGGTATAGGGCTGATATTTTAGGTCAGTAGAGACGTTTGGGGGCGTATCGTGGTAATTGTCCCATTATACGCTGATATAAGCACTTCTAATGTTCACCCCTAAAATGCAGGAACCAGCTGTAATTGTACAAAGTATCCAGCAGAGGGCGCATGAAGACAACTTTCAAGTCATGGCTGTTCACTGAAGTTGCACTTTCAGCACAGACGAAGCAAACATCAATACTGTGCAGAATATTTTACTGAACAGAGCATGGTGAGTTTATTTTAACTGATCTGTAAAATAAATTGATAATAAATTCTCTTTAATCCTCCAACCTGCTTGTCATTAGCTACATGCCTCAAGTTAGCAAGCTAACGTTTAGATAACCTAGCGTAGCCTTGTGTAAAACTTTAATGAACGCACTTGAGGACAACTTTTTATGACCGGTGTTCCACTTGTGAACCTGCTGTGGGACTACGTAGAACTGGATCTGATTAGCGTAACTTTTTTCATTCAACCTTTATTTATGCATCCTGATGCTGCTCAAGAATCCAGGTAGAGAAATCTGACTTAACTTTTTGAGATTTTATTTCTACAGGTCAATTAAGCCTTGGGGACTCATTCTCATTTAGCTTCATGGTTGCTAACAGCTGTGCTAAATGAACAAGCCCCGCCCCCCACTCTGTTTTCTTACATTCCTGGGGTGGACAAAGATTTTCAGCCATTATATCGGTCATCGGTGCTCGCCTTCTCCGACCAGTACTGGTTATAGCCGAAACGTCCGTATCGGTCGGGCTTTAGATCACAAAGTGAAGGCCGGCGGTTGAACTAAGAGTTCTGTGGAAAGATTATGAACTGTTTTCATTCAACCTTTATTTAGACCGCTAAATCCCATTGAGCCTCGAGGACTCATTTACAAGAGAGACCTGATTACTGTTAATAGTGGATTGATTCTAGATGGCTCTTCTGGCTCAGGCAACACTTCTCTTGTCTTACCAGCCAACTTTTACTTGTTAGGCAACCTGATACAAAAAGACCATTGAGTCCAATTAGAGCCAACTGGAAGTTAAACTGGTTTTTGATTCATGTATTTAAAACCTTTTATTGCTTTTAACGTTTTAGAGAACCCTATCAGGAGGAGGTGTACTTTAATTAAGAGGATGGTATGTCATAACTGAGCTGAGGGAAGGAGTGTGTACATTTAAATAAGAGAACAGGTGAACACACACACCCTGCTGCCTTTGCCTTGTTCTGTCCCTGAACGCAACACAAGTGACCTCAACAAAAGCCATAAATGATCCTTCAGCTCCAAAGTTCTCCAGGACATGTGGCCACATCAGTCATGAATGAACCTCATGCAGAGGTTTTACTAGACTCCCCTGGACCAGGTTGGAGTCACGTCGTGGTTTATTGTTGCTCACGTGCACCAGTAGCTCGGCCTGCGACGCTCTCACACCTTCACGCCTCAAACTTGTGCTCAGCAGTTCACATTCTGCATCTTGTACTCCAGGTAGAAGATTCCAACATGCTGTCGACAGAAGACGTGTCTTGAGAGAATAACAGATTACATCGTGAAAATGTTTTTGCTCATGCACGTGCATGTGTTTGTCTTTCAGCAAATGATCTAAATCACTGGACAACTTTTAATCCAAATTTCTGGAAATGTTCCTTGATGTCCATTTTGGAGTCAACCTGATTAAAGATGGCCGCCACATCATTGTACAGTAACTTGTGGATTTGACGGACCTAACGTGTGGAGTGGTGGTGCTTCATGTTGACCAGTGACAAAGGACACGGACAATGAGTTAAATGAAAATAAACCTGTTAAACGCTTATCAGAACATTTCATTCATTTGGACTGAACCGCTCCTTTATCCTTCTGGACAGACGTTTTCATAACTTGCTCTGAAGTATCTGCTCAGTTACAACCAGTTTTTATTCATCAATCTTTCAAAACAGAACTGTGCTTGTTTTATGCATTTTTTTAAACTTTTGATCAGTCAGTGAGTTACTTCACACTCTGTTTGAACTCTTCTATTAACAAGGTCAAGGTTCTTTTTTATCATTTGCATCATAAAACTGTACTCGGTCCCAGTTACATCCAACAATAGCAAAAATATAACGTGTAAAAAAACGGTAAATAAGGAACTGGGATTTAAACTAAGATACACGCTTCAGGGCTGGGCAAACTTTCTGACTCGCGGGCCACACTGGGTTCTAAAAGTGGAGCGAAGGGCCGGGTTACACCCCAGCACAAGAACAGCCACCGGGACGCTATTAATTACGGACGATTCCACCTTGTGCACCACTCAAGCAGCCACCAAGTCAGATGATATGATGGAACAGTGATTTTATTTACAACAGTGAAATGATGGACTTTGTGGAGTCTTACCAAGTTCAGACCAAACGACAAACAAAACAAACCCCTGGATTTTCTCTTACCTGAAGAAAAATCAAATGAACAAGTCTCTTACCTCACTGTGCTCATGGAACTCAGGAGAAAGGTGTAAAGAAAGTGTCGGCTCACCTCCACAAACTCCTCACAACACTTTACAACTACAGGATCTGAAGTTGATGACAGGTCAGCAGGTTGGGATGAAGCAGACGTGCTCCTCCTGCAGCTCCTCCTGCAGATCCTCCTGCAGCTCCTCCTGCAGATCCTCCTGCAGATCCTCCTGCAGATCCTCCTGCAG